CGTTTAGATCCAGGGGCCAGGCTCCGTTGAGGGGGCCGTGAATCGCATTGGTAGCGCGGCAAAGGTTAGCGCCGCTGCGCTCGACGCTGCCTGATGGACTTCGAAGACTTCGATGAGCTCTACGAGGCCTTCGACGCTGATGGCGCGGACGAGAATGGAGACGCCGCCTTCAATGGCGCGATCCCAGCTGACCACATGGAGGAGGATGATGATGACGACAACCAGGTCTATGACTTCGACGATGACCTGGTGACTGGACCTGCAAGGCCGTTGGGACCTAACGGAAGCCCTTCCTCTTCAGCAGCTCCTTCAAGGAGAAGAGGATCTAGAGGCTCACGATCTTCACAACATGGCCAACCCGGTCCAAGCTCTCGCAAGTGGCGATCAGGCCACATCCCTGCCCCGCCGACCTTTGCGGGGAACGTGGAGGACGAGCCCTACTGCTTGCGACATTACCGTCGCGCCCTGCGACTGTGGACGACAATTACAAGAGAGTTTTTGCCGGCCAACGAACAGGCCCTGAGAGCGCTCGACGCGCTCACGGGCGAGGCCGCCTTGGAGCTCGAGGAGGTGGACGATGAGCGCTACAACACGGACACCGGGATTCAGCAGCTCCTCGATGATCTTGAGATCAGCTTCGGCGAGCGCGAGCTGTTTCGTCGCGGAGGACTGATCCGCGAATACGAATCCCTGACAAGAGTCCAGGGAGAGTCGGTCTGCGCTTTCCTTCGAAGGTTCCGACTCTATGAGAGGAAGCTCAAAGACGCTCAGGTCCCGCCCTACCCGGACGAGACTCGAGCGGTCAAGCTGCTCGATGGCCTACGCCTCGACGAACGAGCCACTTCGCAACTGCTCTTGGCTGCAGGCAATCGATACAGCTTCCAAGCGCTGGTTGAAGCGATCCACATCCAATATCCAGCGGGGCTGACGCTGACGGGGATGTCACGACATCCAGTCCCTGTCCATGTCGCCTCAGCTCCACGACATCGAGGCCGAGGCCACCAACCCCGAGGCCGAGGAAGAGGCGGAAGTTTCCGCTGGAAGACATGGCACACTGAGGCCATGCCTGCAGATGACGATCCGGTTGAGGAGGTCTTCATGACTGCCGGTGATGAAGTCCAGCAGTATGAGGACGACCCGAACGACGACACCTTCGATTACCAGTTCGCTGACTATGATGAGCAGGCTGAAGATGCAGCCGCAGCTGAGGAGTTCGAGCCCGATGAACTCCCTGAGTATGAGGCCGGTGATGACGCCGGCGATGAACACCAGGCCATGACGGCCACGAGCAAGCGCCTGGCTGCAACCATGCAGTCAAGGGGCTACTACACCACCGCCAAAGACAAAGGCAAGGGCAAAGGCCATGGGAAAGGCGCTGGCAAGGACAAGGGCTTTGGCAAGAAGGGAACTACATTCTCTTCTTCGCCTACGACCACTTCCAAAGGAAAAGGGTCCGGCAAGTCCAAAGCCGGTTCAAAGGGTGGGAAGTCCAAAATGAACCCCACTCAGAGGCAGCGCATGCAGGCCAGCCTTTGTTTGGGCTGCGGAGCCTCAGACCACTGGCTTCGAGAATGCCCACATGTCACACAGCACCAAGCCCATGTGTGCTCGGCTTCATCAACCTTGGATGGAGACGGCACGGTGGTTTGGATGACAAGCCACAACAAGATGCCAGGTTGGCAGCCGGAATCACCTCCTTCCTCTTCGGCACCTTCGACCTTGAGCCGCCGAGACGAGGAAGAGCCACCGCCGCCGCCTCCAAGGCGGGAACTGCCGGCAGAGGACGCTCTGCCATCTTGGGATGTTTTGGTCCCTGAGGGCATGAACCCGGACGACCATGCCGACTACGAGGACGACATGGCCTTTTGGAGGCAGGAGGCTGCAAGTCTCCATACGCTCATGGATGAGAATGGTAACATCCCTGGCATGAGAGAGCTTCCAACTTCACCAGCGAGCTCTTTTCGAACGGCTCCTGGCACTTTAGAGACTGACTTCATTTCTTGTGCGCCAAGTCGGGCGCCAAGTGAATTTCAAGACGCCATGAGCGAAGCTCAGGGCAGCGATGTTTTTGAGGTTTTTGGTGTTTTTGGTTCACCCCCTCTTTCTAGCATAGCAGCTTCATCTCATGATTTTCCACGTCATGTTCATGGGGGAGAGGACCCAAGGACCTCAAGAATGCAACAATGGGGTGAGGACCCAAGGACCTCAAGAGTAGAACAACAATGGGGTGAGGACCCAAGGACCTCAAGAGAAGAACAACAACGGGGCGAGGACCCAAGGACCTCAAGAGACATAGGCTGTCCATCACTTACCCTTGAGGGGTACCCATTTCTAGCCGCCCAGCCGGCTCCCGTGGCATTGCCACCACCTTCGCCCTGGACGCGAGCCATGGCCTTCGACGGCTCGGCAGCCGACGATGAAAGTGGAAGGCCAGCTCGGCCGTTGAACGAGCATCCTATGGTGAGGATGCGCCATGCCTCAGGTGCAGCCAGCACTTCTGCCTTGGCTGGTGGCTACCGGACCGAGACCTACTACCGGGTCCAAATGGTCTATGCCTCACGAACGACACGACCGCCTTCTTTGCTGCGGTCGGTTCCTGAGGAAGATGCTGATGGAAAGCCGCATGATCATTTGTTTCGTGCACCACCCATCACCAACATGATGCAGTACACGGACGAGCCATGCCTGGCCATAGTGGACACAGGCTGTCAGCGACAAGTGGCTGGCCGCCGATGGCATGAGCTCCACCTGAACCACGTGCAGCTCCCCAGACTGTTTTTCGTGGAAAATTGTGCTTTTCGTTTTGGTCCAAGCAAGAGTTCACGATCACGAGAGAGGTATGCATATCCTGCAGGTCTTGGAGGTCATTTTTGTGTGATGTTTTTCTCGTGCGTTGAAGAAGATGCACCCGCTTTGATGTCACGCCACACCATGACCACACTCGATGCCATCCCGGACATTTCAACGGGCAAGATGATTTATAGAGCTTTGGGCACCACTTCACAGCTGTATCTTTCCACCTGCGGTCACCTAGCAGTTCGCCTAGATGAATGGCCTGAAGAACTTCCAAGTTGGCCATGTCAGATGCCCTTGGACAAGAACGAGTTGCCTGATGTTTGGGCTCCGACTGCCACTCCGGTTCAAGCTCGACCACTTCCGAGTGCAAGACACCCTGCTGTGACACCACCCGGAGATGCCCGCTCCTCCTTCATGGCTGAGGCGCTGGCGTCAGCTGCTGGTCCACCTGTGGAACCTGGTGGTGACTGTGAGCAAGTCGGTGCTCCACTACGCCGCTTCGAGCTTGAAGCCACATCTGCGCGACGACATCATCAAGCACTACATGGCTCCCTGCACGGCAGCGACCATGCAGACTTCGATGGCAGCAATGGCAGCTCAGGCCAACATGCAGACCCTGACCTACCCGAGCAATCCATCGGAGTGCGAGCACCCCTCAGGCCTTCGAGCCTACGGGGCGGGAGGCCAGAGCGTTCGCATCTGCGACCAGTGCGGTTTCAGGGCGGTGATCCACAAGGGTCAGATGATCCGAGTGCAGCCCAAAGCAAGTCCTCATGCTCGAACCCCTCTACAATTGCCGGAGCACATCTCACAACACAGCAAAAGCAAAGCCGCCGGCAAAGCATCAAGCAAAGCCGCAGGCAAGAGCGCTCCCCCGGCAAAGTCAACTGGTTCCTCAGGACAGCAACGTTCTGGCTCGGGACCTTTCTTGCCTTTCTCTCAGGGCTACTTCTCGGAACCACCTCAGTATCCGAACTTGGCCAACATGACGCCTTCGCAGAGCTGGACTCATCAGCAGATCCTGCAACAGCAAGTCGAGGACCAGGTGCAACGTCGACTCCAAGAGATTGGTCCACAAGTGGAGGCGCAAGTTCAGCAACGCTTGGAGCAGATGGCCAAGGCGAAGGCGACAGCTCCTATGCCTTCGACTTTGACGGCACCAGTGCCGGAGATTCCTTTGGACAACGGTTCAGTGGCGAGCTGGGATCAGGTTGGCTCGCAATGGAACCAGGACTGGAACAACCCTTCGAACTGGGACCAGCCCTACGACTGGACGGAGGAGATCGAGGAGCAGCACGAGGATTTCGAGAACGACCAGGAGAACTACCCGGACATGGGCCAGGAACAGATGTCCCTGGACGGTTCGGCTCTCTGAATCCACAGCTATCTGGGTCGGCCGACCGACCTTTGACCTTTGAGGACCGCGGTTTCCAGTTGCTCAAACCTGGACGCCGCAAGAGACTACTTCACACCGTTCGCCAACTTCGTCAACTATGGCTCACAGAGTTGCAGATCTATGACAATGTCATTCAGGCCGCGCGGAAGCTCCGTCACACCTCCGAGGTTGACCTCATTGAGATCTATGGCGGCCACTGCAACATCACTGAGGAGGCTCTGTCACGAGGACTTCGATGTTTGCAGCCGGTGGACAAGATTCATGGAATCAGTCTCAACAGCAAAGCCGACTTTGCCTGGCTACAACGTCTTCTCCATCGATGGCGACCTCTGCTGACAGTTCTGGAGCCTGAATGTCGACTCTGGTCACCTCTGACTGGACTCAACTACTACTGGCGACCGGAAGAACTTGAACAACTTCGAGAAGAAGCGCAAGTCACCGTTGAAGGTGTTGCCAACATGATCCGCGACATCATCGCGGCGGATCGCTTCTTCCATTTGGAGAACCCCCACAACGGGCAGTTTTGGAACCAACCTGCAATGCTCAAGCTCTTCAACGATTTCGAGCTCTACTATGACTATGGCAACATGTGCGCCTACGGTCTTCGTGGACGCAACGGTGGCCTGATTTGCAAACCCACTGGATGGCTGAGCAACAATCCAGCCTTGCTTGCGAGTGTCACTCACAAGTGCAACGGGCTTCATGAGCACGAAGAATGCATGGGAGGAAATGCCAAGCTAGCTGCTGTCTACACCAAGCAACTTGCTAAGTCCCTGGTGGATGCCTTCACCTCTGAAATGCAAGACCTTGGGGACGAGCGCTTCATCCTGGCTACTTCAGCGAGTTCCTCCGCTACCAGCTTTCCTACTTCATCTAGCTCAAGAAGGCCCATGACACCTTCGAGGGCACCTTTGACCCCCATGCCAGGTACTCCAATGCCTGGAACTCCAGCATGGCCGGCTCCTTCTACACCTGGACCTGGCCCTATGCTTGAAGATGACCACGTCAGCTTGCAGAAGGACCCTGACAGCTGGCGACCTTTGTTGAAAGAGGCGGCAGAACGCCTTGAGGGAAAGGTGGCAGTTGCAGCGGAGATCAAACCCTCCGCCTTCCTGGAACAGGTGAAAGCTTTGGTTCCTTGGCACATCTCCTTCGCCCAGATCTACCGGACACCAAAGACACGACGACTTCCGACTCAAAGGATGCTGAACGTGCCCGACATCACTCATCGAGGCGCAGCACTCCTCTACCACGACAACACCATCGAGGTTGAGAGTCAGGCCTTGGAGGACCTCACCAATCCGAACTCCAGGTTCGAGCGAAGTGTGCGTGTCGCCATCTTCATCTATGGCAGGCCCATGGCAGTGGAGACCTCAGTTCAAAGGAGAACTTTGTCCAAGCTGACTTCACCGCCAACTCCGGTGGCAGTTGAACCAGAGCAGACTATGAAACCCTGGGAACCAGGAGCTGCCGACATCTCCTTCCCTGGTTTGTCTGAAGATCAGGTTCCACGATGGATGCAAAACGTGCTGAAACGCATTCACTCCAACCTGGGGCATCCATCATCGGCAACACTCATTCGTATGTTGTCACAAGCTCAAGCGAGTCCAGCTGCCTTGATCGGTGCACGTGCTTTGCGTTGTGCCGTTTGTGAACGCAGCAAACCACCTCGAGAACCTCGACCTTCAAAGACACCACCACCTACCAGACGGTTCAATGAGCGTGTGATGCTGGACCTGCTTTACACCAAGGACTCCTCAGGTGAGACCTTTGCCTTCCTGAATCAAGTTGATGATGCCACAACTCTTCAGGTGCTCACCTTGGTCAACGACCGCAACTCCAGCACCATCACCTCAGCGCTTGTGAAAGGATGGTTTCAGCACTACGGTCTGCCAGAGACTCTGTTGGTAGACGCTGAGGGTGCTATGAAGAGCTTCGTCTTCGACGAGCTCATGGCCCAGAGCAACATCATGGTTCGCTTTGTCCCTCCGGACGCTCACTGGCAGATGGGCAAGTGCGAGCGACATGGAGATGCAGCAAGAGCCATCCTGAACAAGCTGGTCGACCAACATGGTCTACTTGGCGCCGAGGACATGCAGACCGGCGCTGTGATGGCTTGCTTCGCCAAGAACACCCTTGCGAGGCGAGCTGGAAGTTCACCCGCTCAATGGGCACTTGGCCAAAATCCTCGACTACCTGCAGCAGTGCTCTCCGAGGGAGATAATCCTGAGGCAATGGAGCGACTCACACTGTCCAATAAGCTGCAGCAGATCGAGAACCTTCGCTTCGACGCGATGCACGCCTTCCTGTCCTTCGAGAATGAGAACGCTTTGAGGCAGAGCATGCTTCGTCGTTCACGACCATGGAGAGGCCCCTATGAGATCGGCCAGAAAGTCGTTTACTACCGCCTTCGCAATGCCTTGGACGGCGAAGGATCTCAACCTGGCTATCGTCAAGGGCTGATCTTGGCCAAGGACCCGGGCATCAACGGAAGTCTATGGCTTCGCAACGACAGAGGCCGACTGGTGCAAGTGAGCCGCGAACAAGTTCGATGCCTCCAAGGAGACGAGATTTGGCTCCCAGATGAGAAGGATTTCAACCTTCTGAGGTCAGCTGAGCAGGACTTGGAGAAGAAACACGCCTCAGCTCATGACCTTCGTGATGCAGCACCACCTCCCGGACTTCCTCTTTTACCAGAGCAACCACCTGCTGAAGTTCCTGAAGGTCCTCTCGAACCTGGCAGGCAACCTCTGGATGCTCCCGGTGAGTCAGCTGACCCACCGTCTGAAATTGCTGAACCCGAAGTTCCTGCTGACGTACCTCT